GTAGGGGGTCTGCGGTTGGGATCAGGCCCTTAGGCTCTGCCGGGAAGGAGGGAAGGGGGGGTTTGAGTGGGGCCATGGTTGTCAGGCTTTCCCTTCTGCCCATTTTTATGTTTTTCAGGGCAAGGCCCGAGCTAAGCTCAAACACCAGGAGCCTAAGCGGAGATGCCCATCCTGCAAGGAGATTCTAAAAGAGTCCTAGAGGAAGGTTCTTTGCGGCCCATGTATAGAGGGGTTAGTAAAGGAGGAGAGGCCTGAACAGGGTGACTTGGCCAGGTCAGTGAAGGAGTTGGCTAGTACCTTTTGACTCCTTCAAGTCCCTCATGGAAAGGTTTGCCATTCCCCAGCCTACCCCATGGCCCCCCCCCCCCGGTAGCCTCAGCAGGTCGGAGCAGGAAGCCCCTCATGATGGGTGAGGAGGAAGAGCCCTTGGGTGATTCCCAGACAGAGGAGGAATCTGTGGGGGAGGGTCCCTCGGAAGATGGCAGGGGTCCCTCCCGGTACAAACTGTCCCTAGAGGAGGTAGACGATCTCTTGGGGGCTATATACGAGACCCTGGACATCAAGGAAGAGGTTAAAACCTTGTCTGTACATGACCAAAAAGGAATCCAGAAAGGAAACCTTTCTTCTCTAAAGCTCTGAGAAGGAGGTTTCCATTTAATGAAGACCCGGGGGCTGTATGGAATAAAAACCCCAAGCTGGACGTGGCCTTTTCTCAAACAGCTAGGAGGACGGACCTAGTTTTTGAGGATATGGGGGTCTTCCCGGATCTGTTGGACAGGAGAGCGTAATCTCTCCTTAAGAAGGCCTGGGATTCAACCATGTACAACTTGAAACCTGCCATGGCCACGACTGTTGTGGCCAGAAACTTGGAATATTGGCTGACACAGTTGCAGGCCCATATCGTAGCAGACTCCCCCAAGGAAAAGATCTTGGCCTCCTTTGAGACCCTTTTACAGGGTGTGAGATATATCGCGGATGCTTCCGCTGAGTCGGTAAGGCTGGGGGCTAGGTCAGCAGCCCTGACCGATTCAGCTAGGAGGGCACTGTGGCTGAAGACTTGGCAAGGGGACATCACTTCAAAAGTAAGATTGTGTGGCATCCCCCTCACGGAGGACTGTCTGTTTGGCCCGGGATTGGAGGAAATTCTGGACCGGACAGCTGACAGGAAGAAATCCTTCCCCCTCAAAAGGAAGTTGCAGGAGGGAGGGACACGAAAGGCCCGCCCGGCAAAGAGACTGAACCCGAGGCCAGTTGGTCAGAGTAGGTCTTTGGGGCAGAGAGGTAGGGGCAGGGGGGGCGATTTTTCGCCCTCCTGAGCAGCCCCAGAAGCCACGGTGACTCGGTTCCTCCTGTGGGAGGAAGATTGGCAGCCTTTCTCCCACAGTGGGAAGCCGTGGTCACCAGCCCCTTCATTCTGGACATCGTAAGAAGGGGTTATCGGCTGGAATTTTCAGAACCACCACCAGAGCGTTTCCTTGTGACGGCCCGTCCAAGGGGTCCGGCGAGGGCCGCTGCCCTAATGGACGCCTTGAGGGATCTGGAGGACCAAAGGGTCATCACCAAGGTCCCGGAGGGAGAGAAGGGGAAGGGGGTTTATTCCCACATATTCATGGTTCAGAAGCAGTCGGGGGCGTTCAGGCTGATTTTGAACCTGAAACCCCTAAACAGGTCAGTGTGTTACCGGAGATTCCGCATGGACTCCATCTTTACAGTCAGGTCCCTACTTCCACCAGGAACATTCATGGCGTCCATAGATCTGAATGACGCCTACCTGTACGTGCCCATTGCGGAACCTTCTCAGCGATTCCTCAGGTTGGCAGTAGGGGGAGAAGGGAGAATTCAGCATTGGCAGTTCAGGGCTCTTCCGTTCGGGCTATCTTCCTCGCCAAGGATATTTACCAAGGTTCTGACAGAGGCGCTGATTACCATTCGCATGAAGGTGATTTCAGTAATAGCCTACCTGGATGACCTGCTGCTCTTCGCGGACTCAGAGGCTCACCTTCGGCAGAACATTGTCACGGTGAGGGGTCATCTAGAAAACCTAGGGTGGATTTTGAATCTACAGAAGTCCTGTCTGGTGCCTTCTCAGAGAGTGGTTTACTTGGGGTACACTCTGGATTCCGTAAGGCAGAGGACCATCCTGACTTCGGAAAAGGTTACCAAATTAGAGGCAGGGATCAGATTATTGCAGGGGAGCAGGTCAATAACAATAAGGCAGGCCATGTCGGTACTGGGATTATTGACGTCTTCCATTCCAGCAGTGCAGTGGGCAGGCTTGCATCTGCGTCCCCTCCAGCTGTGGGTCCTAGTGAGGATTTGGGACAGGAAGACTCACTCCTGGTCCTAGTTCCACCAAGTGTGAAGAGGTCTCTGTGGTGGTGGAGGAGATCGTCCAATGTAACCCAGGGGCTGTTGTGGTGTTTCCCGGTGTCCAGGGAAGTCACGACAGACGCCAACTCCAGGGGGTGGGGAGCCCACCTTGGAGAATTAGTGGCTCAAGGGGAATGGTCCTTAGCAGAAGGGAGCGAATCCTCAAATTGGAGGGAGTTGAGGGCGGTGGGGGAGGCTCTTTGCGCTTTCCAAGAGAGAATCAGGGGCCAGCATGTGCGAGTCCTAACGGACAATGCTACAGCAGTGGCTTACATAAACAGGCAGGGAGGAACAAGAAGCAAGGCTCTCAGATCCCTAGTGGCAGCGCTTTTGTCCTGGGCAGAGGGGAACTTGGCTTCCCTGTCCGCGGTACACCTAAAGGGGGAACTGAACCAGAAGGCAGATTTCCTGAGCAGGACTCGGCTCAGGGAGTCGGAATGGGCCTTGAACACCGAGGTCTTTCAGGCGATTGTGCAGAGGTGGGGATCCCCGGACGTAGATCTTTTTGCCTCGGGAAAAAACAACAAGGTCCCGAACTTCTTCCCCCTTTCCCGCGGGGATGGGTCAAGAGTGGTGGACGCATTAGGACAGAGGTGGGATTACCCGCTGTGTTACGCTTTCCCCGCGGTTCCCTTACTCCCCCTGGTGTTAAGGAAATTCAGGACAGAAAGGACCTCGCTCGTCCTGATCGCCCCTTTTTGGCCGCGACGAGCGTGGTTCACGACCCTAAGGAGTTTAGCCTCTCGTCCACCCTGGGAGTTGCCACCAAGGGAAGATTTGTTGACGCAGGGGCCGGTCCTATGCCCCAGCGTGGGAAGACTAAGGCTAACGGCCTGGTTTCTGAGCGGCAGCTCCTCTTAGCGAAGGGTTTTTCGTCCAGAGTAGTGGCAACATTACTGGCCAGTAGGAAGGAGGAGACCCAGGCCTTTTATGGTAGGGTCTGGGGTTGCTTTACGGCTTGGTGCGACCAGGCATCAGTAGCAACCCATAATTTAGTTTCTGTATTGGAATTCCTGCAAGCGGGGGTGGACAAGGGGCTTTCTGTCAGCACACTTAAGGGCCAAGTCTCAGCCCTCAGCGTGTTCCTAGAGACACCCTTGGCCAGGGAGGCGTTGGTAGGGAGATTTTTTAAGGCTCTGGTGAGACAGAGGCCTCCGAGGTCTAGCCCATTTCCGATGTGGGATTTAGCCAAGGTGCTCGGAGTGATGACTAGGGCCCCGTTCGAGCCCCTGGAGTCCTGCCCAATCAGTGAGCTTACCATTAAAATGGCCTTTTTAGTAGCAGTTACCACAGCAAGGAGGGTATGTGAACTAGAGGCCCTAATGATCAGAGCCCCGTATCGCCGTATTTTTTCAGATAGAATAGTTTTCAGGATGGACCCATCCTTCATTCCGAAGGTGGCCCAGAGGTTCCAGAGGGAGCAGGACATAGTCCTTCCCTTGTTTTTTTATGACCCAGTTGGGGAAGATCAGGAGAGACTTCATTTCTTAGATGTGAGAAGGTGCATGCTCCTGTATCTGGAGAGGACTAAAGAGTTTAGGAGCACGGAATCCTTTTTTGTTTTTTTTTCACGGGGGCTAGAAGAGGCAAGAAGGCGTCTAGAAGGACACTGGCCAGTTGGTTACGACTGGAAATTTCAGGGGCGTACCTGGCAGAGGGCCTGGAGGCCCCGGAGGGAATCAGGGCGCATTCCACCTGAGCAGTGGCGACTACCCAGGCAGAACTAGCAAGGGCTTCCCCAGGACAGATCTGCAGAGCAGTAACCTGGTCCAGCTATGACACATTTGCCATACATTACAGACTTGACCTGGTCTCGGTGCAGGAGCAGGCCTTTGGTCGTAAGGTCTTGCAAGCAGTTAGCCCTCCCGAGGGGTGAGTACTCGCTTATCCTCTCAAGGTGCTGGCCTGAAAGATGGAAGGGGAAAAATCAAGTTACACTTACGGTAACGTCTTTTCCAGTAGTCTTTCAGGTCAGCACCGGTTTCCCACCCAGTGTTGATATTGGTTATGTGAGGATATCTTATTACGGTTATGTTGTCTCGTGTTGTGTCTCCCCAGGTGACCGGAGGATGATTTGAGAACTGAGGTCAGAGGGGAGTGGAGATCTTTTATTTTGGGTGGAGGTGTTTCCTCAGGTGGGGAGGAGCCGAGGTCTCTCAAGGTGCTGGCCTGAAAGACTACTGGAAAAGACGTTACTGTAAGTGTAACTTGATTTTTTTTTCTCACCAAGGCTGTGCAACATTGGACAGGGCCACACAGTCAAGAACTGAAACTACAATGAAGGGGATGGGGGAATACTTACAGAACATTTTTCTAAGTGAATTGTGCTTTAAGTATATATTGCCAAAAGTATTGGGACACCTGCCTTTACACGCACATGAACTTCAATGGCATCCCAGTCTTAGTCCATAGGGTTCAATATTGAGTTGGTCCACCCTTTGCAGCTATAACAGCTTCAGCTCTTCTGGGAAGGCTGTCCACAAGGTTTAGGAGTGTGTCTTGTTTGACCATTTTTTGACCATTTTTCCAGAAGTACCGTATTTTTCGCTCCATAAGACGCACCTGACCATAAGACGCACCTAGGTTTTAGAGGCGAAAAACAAGAAAAAAAAATATTCTGAACCAATGGACTGCAGACATAGTACAGGGAATGACCAGAGACTGCAGACACAGTACAGGAGATGACCAGAGACTGCGGACACAGTACAGGAGATGACCAGAGACTGCGGACATAGTACAGGAGATGACCTGAGACTGCGGACACAGTACAGGAGATGACCAGAGACTGCGGACACAGTACAGGAGATGACCAGAGACTGCGGACATACTACAGGAGATGACCAGAGACTGCGGACATACTACAGGGGGTGACCAGAGACTGCAGACATACTACAGGGGATGACCAGAGACTGCGGACACAGTACAGGGGATGACCAGAGACTGCAGACACAGTACAGGAGATGACCAGAGACTGCGGACACACTACAGGAGATGACCAGAGACTGCGGACACACTACAGGAGATGACCAGAGACTGCGGACACACTACAGGAGATGACCAGAGACTGCGGACACACTACAGGAGATGACCAGAGACTGCGGACACAGTACAGGAGATGACCAGAGACTGCTGACACAGTACAGGAGATGACCAGAGACTGCGGACATACTACAGGAGATGACCAGAGACTGCGGACATACTACAGGAGATGACCAGAGACTGCGGACATACTACAGGAGATGACCAGAGACTGCGGACATACTACAGGAGATGACCAGAGACTGAGGACACAGTACAGGAGATGACCAGAGACTGCGGACACAGTACAGGGATGGTCAGAGACTGCAGACAAACTAGAGGAGACAGTCAGAGACTGCGGACACAGTACAGGAGATGACCAGAGACTGCGGACACAGTACAGGAGATGACCAGAGACTGCGGACACAGTACAGGAGATGACCAGAGACTGCGGACACAGTACAGGAGATGACCAGAGACTGCGGACACAGTACAGGAGATGACCAGAGACTGCGGACACAGTACAGGAGATGACCAGAGACTGCGGACACAGTACAGGAGATGACCAGAGACTGCGGACACAGTACAGGAGATGACCAGAGACTGCGGACACAGTACAGGAGATGACCAGAGACTGCGGACACAGTACAGGAGATGACCAGAGACTGCGGACATATTACAGGAGATGACCAGAGACTGTGGACATAGTACAGGGAAAATACCAGGGACACAGTACAGATGACCAGAGACTGCAGACAGTACAGGGGATGACTAGAGACTGCAGACAGTGCAGGGGATGACCAGAGACTGCTGACCTTTGGGGAGGGAGGGGGAGCGGGTACCTGAATTTGACAGGTACCCGCTCCCACTTCCGCGGCGTTGTCTTTCCCTCTTCTAACAGCGCCGGCTTCTGTGACAGCCGGGTGCCCACTGCGCATGCGCGAGGAGCGCTGCACTTTATGAATGGCCCGGCGCCTTCTGGGACCTGTCATGTGTCCCAGAAAACACTGGACCATTCACAAAGCACAGCGCATGCGCACTGGGCACCCGGCTGTAAGAGAAGTCAGCGCAGGAAGACTGCAGCACTGGAGCGAGGAACAGGTATGGCCTTGCAGGAGAGAACAGCTGAGCGGCCGGCCCGGTATTCTGACATGGTGGCGGCAGAAATACCGGACCGACCGCTTTATATTCGCTCCATAAGACGCACTGACGTTTTTCCCCCTTTTTTGGGGGAAAAAAGTGCGTCTTATGGAGCGAAAAATACGGTATATTTGTCGGACGAGAAGGCCTGGCTCACAGTCTCTGCTCTAATTCATCCTAAAGGTGTTCTATCGGCTTGAGTTCAGGATTTGACTGTGCAGGCCTGTCAAGTTCCTCCACTTCAAACTTGCTCCTCCATGTGTTTATGGACCTTGCTTTGTGCACTGCTGCGCAGTCATGTTGGAACGGAGAAGGGCCATTCCCAAACTGTTCCCACAAAGTTTGGAGCATGACATTGTCTAAAATGTCTTGATATGCTGACGCCTTAAGAGTTCCCTTCACTGGAACTGGGCCAAGCCCAACCCCTGAAAAACAACCTCACACCATAACCCCCCTCCACCAAACTTTATACTTGGCACAATGCAGTCATGCAAGCAGCATTCTCCTGTAAATTGCTAAACTCTGACACGTCCATTGGATTTCCAGACAAAGAAGCATGATTTGTCACTCCAGAGAACACGTCTCCACTGCTCCAGTGGTGGCATGCTTTATATCGCTGCATCCGACTCTTTGCATTGCACTTGGTGATTTAAGGCTTGGATGCAGCTTCTCAGCCATGGAAACCCATTCTATGAAGCTCTCTACGCACTGTTGTGCTAATCTAAAGGCCACATGAAGTTTGGAAGTCTTTAGCTATTGACTCTGCAGAGATTTGGCGACTTCAGCATGCGCTGACCCCGCTCTGTCATTTTACATGGCCTACCACTTTGTGACTGAGTTGCTGTTGTTCCCAGTTGCTTCCACTTTGTTATAATACCACTAACAGTTGACCTTGGATTTTTTAGTAGCAAGGAAATTTCACAGATGGGACTTATTGCACAGGTGGCAACCTATCACAGTACCATGCTTGAATTCACAGCTTCAACTCTCCTGGGAAGGCTGTCCACAAGGTTTAGGAGTGTGTCTATCGGAATGTTTGACCACTCTTCCAGAAGCATATTTGTGAGGTCAGGCACTGATGTCGGACGAGAAGGCCTGGCTCGCAGTCTCCACTCTAATTCATCCCAAAGGTGTTCTATCGGGTTGAGGTCAGGACTCTGTGCAGGCCAGTCAAGTTCCTCCACCCCAAACTCACTTATCCATGTATCCATAAGGACCTTGCTTTCTGCACTGTGGCGCAGTCATGTTGGAACAAAAAGAGACCATCCCCAAACTGTTCCCACAAAGTTGGGAGCATGTAATTGTCCAAAATGTCTTGGTGTGCTGATGCCTTAAGAGTTCCCTTCACTGGAACTAAGGAGCCAAGCCCAACCCCTGCAAAACAACCCCACACCATAATCCCCCCTCCACCAAACTTTACACTTAGCACAATGCAGTCAGACAAGCACCGTTCTCCTGGCAACCGCCAAACCCAGACACATCCATTGCCGGATTGCCAGACAAAGAAGTGTGATTCGTCCCTCCAAAGGACATGTCTCCACTGCTCTAGAGTCTAGTGTCAGTGTGCTTCACACCACTGCATCTGACGCTTTGCATTGCACTTGGTAATGTAAGGCTTGGATGCAGCTGCACTGCCATGGAAACTCATTCCATGAAGCTCTCTATGCACTGCTCTCTAAGGCTACTCGAAATTTGGAGGTTTTTAGCTATTCACTCTGCTGACACTTTGTGACTTCTGTGCACTTCAGCATGTGCTGGCCCCGCTCTGTCATTTTACATGGCCTACCACTTTGTGGCTGAGTTGCTGTTGTTCCCAGGTGCTTCCACTTTTTTATAATAACACTAACAGTTGACCGTGGAATATTTAGTAGCAAGGAAATTTCATGGATGGACTTATTGCACAGGTGGTAACCTATGACGGTGCCACGCTTTAATTCACGGAGCTCCTGAGAGAGATGCATTCTTTCACAAATGTTTGTAGAAGCAGTCTGCATGCCTAGGTGCTTTATTTTATACACCTTTGGCCATGGAGGTCATTGGAATACCTGAGTTCAATGATTTGAAGGGGTGTCCCAATAATTTTGGCAATATAGTGGCATCACAGTGGCTAAATGGTTAGCACTTCAGCCTGGCAGTACTAGGGTTGCAGGTTCGAATCCCAACCCCGGCACCACCTGCCTGGAGTTTACATGTTCTCCCTGTGACTGCGTGGGTTTCCTCTGGGTACACTGGTTTCCTCCCACACTCCAAAGACATGCTGGTAGGTTAATTGGCTCCTGTCTAAATTGGCCCTAGTATATATGTATGAATGTGAGTTAGGGACTTTTAGATTGTATGCTCTTTGAGGGTTAGGGACTTATGTGAATGTACAATATATACTGTATGTAAAGTGCTGCGTAAATTGATGGCACTATAGAAGTACCTTAAATAAATATAGTGTGTGTATATACTGTATATGTATGTATATGTATATATATAGCAATTTCTGGAATCCTACTAAAAAATGCTAGTTGCCTGGATGCGTCCATTCTCTGCGTCACAGAAAAGGAACAAGTATTTGGTAAGCAAAGTCAGAACTCCTGATTTTCCAGTTTGTTCAATGTTGGTCATTCAGAAAGCATTGACATGGATCATCAAGATAGATGACAACTAGCATTTTCAATAAAAGCAGTGATTCAAAATATAATGGTATGGTTTATGGACACTTCTGCTAGAAAAAAAAAGCAAAAGAGATTTAGCATTTTCTATCTGCAATGCACTTTTGGCTCTGTTTGAACCTAAGTACACAAGTATGGCTGGACCCTTGTGTTTACCACCAATGCATGTGCCAGCACACTTAAAAGCTTAGATTTTCCTAGGTTATTTCTTCTCTTTGTGGAACCTTCCTAGTTTAGATAGGGGGAGCTAGAGTTTAATTGGTAGTGAGGAAGGCGGAGTAGCAGCCTGGGTGTAATAGCCAGAAGGTCAAATCATGGTCAGGAGAGGAGGGCTCTGCAGGCCAGCCCCTCTGGAATTTCCCCCTGCTCTAGGGCTTTGGAGGAAGGCCCTAGAGGCAGTGGGTAAATCTGAGGAGTGACTGGTTGCACTCTTGAGGGCCCTTGCCAATCCCCAACAGAGTTCTTGGCAAGGGTCTGGGACACCCTTAGGAACGTTGGAGCTTGCTCAGTTGCTCAGGAAAGTTCAGGTGGAAGATGTGAGGCTGAAGGCAGGAGGTGGCAAGGAAGCCCAGTAGGATGGGACCTACCTGCAAGCCTGGAGCTAGAAAGGAGGAAAGCTCAGCACTCACGAGTCCCGTGAGAGAGGACAACCTGTATGGCAGGGAAGGAGCGGCCCAGCTGATAGACCTGGTAGCAGCCACCAACCCACCAGCGTACAGGTGAGGATCAGAGTGAGTACACCTGCACCCCTTGGGCAGATAGGGGAAGGAACATTCTGGTGGGTACCAGATTAGCCACCTACCAGTGGCTGCTCATATCTTAAAATGATAGGAACCGAATTCCCTGTTCAGGGATACCTCCAGATTGCTGGGTGAAGAGAATTTCATCTAGGGTCTGGGTTGGTACATTAAGGAGATGCTGGCTAGCTCTCCAACCAAGACTGTGTTGCAGTGTAGGCTTGTAAATAGTCCCAGGAAGATGTCATCAGTACCCTTGGGCATCCTGTACACCCCTAACCCTATCCCAGTTCAAATCCCCTAAATAAAATAACAAAACCAAAGCTCAAAGATTTATTTCTGACTCCGGATGCAAGTTTTTTTGTGTGATGCCTGGCTGTGCAGGACTATAGTGGGACCCAAATCTTTTAGTGATGCCTAAGGGAGTAGTGGTACATCTATGCAAAATTTGATATAAATGCATTGTATCTTATGAATCTAAATAATATACAAATTTGTTTTCCAAGCTTCTTCTAAAGAAATAAACCATATTTCTTAGGTCATTTTATACTCACGGCAAGAATTTTCCAGACGAACCAAACAGTTCAGATAATCATCAAATTCTATCTGGTAGTGGTCATCAGAATATCTTAAGACAATCAGTTGCAACACTATGTTGTTAAGCTGAACGCCTAAAAAGATTAAGAAGTTCATTATTTTCTTAATTAAATTTTTTTACTAATGTAAGTTATATGCATACAGTATGTGTGTGGCCATGTTTATTTTTGGATAGAGTAGGTTAGAATTTAAACTCCTGGCCAGTTTTATTGTAGTCTGTGCCCCTGCTAGGTAGAGTCACCATCAGGGGTGGACTGACAACTCATGGGTCCTCCGGCAATAGGGGATCATGGGGCCGCTGTGTCCTCGCACACACTCAAACCACACCCAAAAAAGCCTATGAAAGGTACCAGGGACACCTCATGGGACCCCCTACTGACCCCAGGCCCTCGGGCAGTGCCCGAGTACCTGAATGGTCAGTCCGCCCCTGGTCACCATTGTATTTTCTATTCTACCATTGCCGCCAAGAAAGAAAGTGATGCAAAATCCCACATTTTCAAGATCAAGAGTTAACATTATATCTTGCAGTGGGACACTATTCCATTGACTCTCCATTCACTTATATTATTATATAGATGAACAGGTTTATAGGTATATACTCACTGACCACATTATTAGGTACACCTGTTCAATTGCTTGGTAACACAAATTACTAATAAACCAATCACAAGGCAGCAACTCAATGAAGTTCAAACCGAGCATCAGATTGGGGAAGAAAGAGGATTTAAGTGACTCTGAATGTGGCATGGTTGCTGATGCCAGATGGGCTGGTCTAAGTATTTCAAAAACTGCTGATCTGCAGGGATTTTCACGCACAACCATCTTTAGGGTTTACAGAGAAAGGTCTGAAAAACAGATATAAAAATATATAATGTATATACCTTTTGTAAAAGAAAAACCTATTGGCTGTAGCGTGCTGTTCTCCACCAGCCCCTCCTCCCTTCCTTTCCCTAGCAGGTACTTGTGACATCATCTGGGATGGACAGGATAAGAGCAGGGGCTGGCAAGGAACAGTGCAACACTGGATGACTGTTGAAAGCCAGCTCTAAAGCCGGGAAGAAAAAGAAGGGAGCCGGTACAGTAGTGTGCCCAGCTGTGTCCCCTACACTGTGCCCCACAGTCTATCAATGAGCTCTGTCCCATGTAATGGACCCTGTCCCAAGTAAAGTGCCCTGTCCCATGTAATCTGCTCTGTTCCATGTAATGTGCCCTGTACCATGTAATGCACTCTGTGCCTTGTCCCATGTAATGGGCTCTCCGTTCTGTCTCATGTAATGTGCTCTGTTCCATGTAATGTGCCATGTACCATGTAATGTGCTCTGTGCTCTGTGCCCTGTGCCCTGTGCCATGTAATAGGCCCTGTGCAATGTAATGTGCCCTGTCTCATGTAATGTGCTCTGTGCCCTGTCCTATGTAATGTGCTCTGTCCCATGTAAAGTGCCCTTTCCCGTGTACTGTACCCTGTCCCATGTAATGTGCCCTCTGCTCTGTCCCATGTAAAGTGCCCTGTTCCATGTAAAGTGCCCTGTTCCATGTAATGTATTCTGTTCCATGTAATGTGTCCTGTCCCATGTAATGTGCTCTTTGCCCTGTCCCATGTAATGTGCCTTGTCCCATGCAATGTGCCCTGTGCCCTGTCCCATGCTATGTGCTCTGTCCCATGCAATGTGCCCTGTGCTCTGTCCCATGCAATGTGCCCTGTGCTCTGTCCCATGCAATGTGCCCTGTGCTCTTCCCCATGTAATGAGAACTGTCCCATGTAATATGCTCTGCCCCATGTAATAGGCTCTGTGCTCTGCCCTATGTAATGTGCTCTCTCTTATGTAATGTACCCTGGGCTCTGTCCCAAGTAATGTGCCCTGTCCCATATAATGTGACTTGTCCCATGTAATGTTGTGTTCTGTGCTCTGTCCCATGTAATGTGCCTTGTCCCATGTAATTTGCCCTTTGCCCTGTCTCATGTAATGTACCCTGTGCTCTGTCCCGAGTAATGTTCCCTGTGCCCTATCCTATGTAATGTGCCCTGTCCAATGTAATGTGCCATGTCCCATGTGATGTTGTGCCCTGTGTTCTGTCCCATGTAATGTGCCCTTTTTACCCTGTCCCATGTAATGTGCCCTGTCCCCATGTAATGTGCCCTTTGCCCTGTCTCATGTAATGTGTCCTGTGCTCTGTCCCAAGTAATGTTCCCTGTGCCTGGTCCCATGTAATGTGCCCTATCCTATGCAATGTGCCCTGTCCAATGTAATGTGCCATGTCCCATGTGATGTGCCCTGTGTTCTGTCCCATGTAATGTGCCCTGTCCCATGCTATGTGCCCTGTGCTCTGTCCCATGCTATGTGCCCTGTGCTCTGTCCCATGTAATGTGCCTTGTACCATGCTATGTGCCCTGTCCCCCGTAATGTGCCCTGTGCCTGTCCCAAGTAATGTTCTCTGTGCCCTTTTCCATGTAATGTGCCCGGTCCCATGTAATGTTGTTCCCTGTGCTCTGTCCCATGTAATGTGTCCTTTACCCTGTCCCATGTGATATTGTGCCCTGTCCCATGTAATACACCCTTTGCCCTGTCCCATGTAATCTGCCCTGTGCTCTACCCCATGTATGTGCCCTGCCTCCATTTAATGTGCCCTCTTCCCACATAATGTGCCTTGCCCTCATGTAATGTGCCCTGTTCCCACATAATGTGCCCTGCCTTCACATAATGTGCCCTTCTCTTGTGTAATATGCCCTGCTTCCATGTAATGTGCCCTGCTTCCCCCTCATGTAGTGTGCCCTCCTGAGCCCGTGTACCCTGCCCTGCTGCCCCCCTACACACTGTTTATTCCAAGTTGGACCCAGAATGGAGGATCTCTGCAGAAAAAGAAAGCACTAGTATCAAATTAAATGGGTACGTTTTAATATTTATTCTTTTATCCAATGCTATTTCTAAAAATAACTGTTATTGTCAACAGCTCGCTGATCGTACCAATGTTCCTTGAGCTGTAGATGTGAACGACTTTTTTCCAGGGGTTCCTTTGAAGGTAAAAAGGTTGAGAAATACTGACCTAATGCATTACCCCCAGTTTTGAGGGTCAGGGGA